TTTGAAGCTTAATTTATCTAATTGGTTTAGTAGTTGTGTTATTTAGATTAATTTGGCACTTAAAAAGCTTGGATCTTTTGTGTGTGTAATTTAGGCACTTAATAGAAAGGTGCAATCACTTATGTTTGTAATTTATTGTTTTATAGGGCAAATTGTGGAATGAAAAGAAGATGGGGAAGAAAGGAAGCTGGTTTTCTTCTGTAAAGAAGGCTTTGAGCCCAGATCCTAAGGAAAAGGCTGACAAGGTATATTGTAATAGCATTTCTGTTCTATGATGCTGAGACTTTTCAAAAATGTATTCGGGTGAGTGTTGGATCCTCCAGAAGTTGTCAATTTTGGAGGATCTGACGCGGGTGCCGCAACAGTTTTGGAGAGTCTGAGCAACATAGTTTCTATCCATTCCTTGGGAATTTTGTTTAGTTTATCTAGTGTTTAATAGGAGGTTGTGGAGGAACGTGGATTAGGGTAGAAGATTAGTAGGTAGTAGAGTATTGTCTCACTTATCCATCTAGTAGTTGTAGTATTTGTCGTGTAGCTTCCTGTCCGTCGATTTCTGTTACTATCTAATGTCTTTAGTACTTCCATTATCACACTTTTTCAGGTGTAGATACTGTTCCATTTCAGTTATTTCTTTTTCGATATGCTTTTTTTCCTTGAGTCGATGGTCTATCGGAAACAACCTCTCTACCTCCCAAGGTAGGGGTAAGGTCTGCGTACACTCTACCCTCCCCAAACCTCACTTGTGGAATTACACTGTGTATGTTGTTGTTGTTATCTAGTTGCTGATACTTATTGTGCTTGAACATCAGAAAGCAAGTAAATCAAAGAAGAAATGGTTTGGGAAAGAAAAGCATACGCTCCCTGATTCTTCGACTGCGGTAACTGCAACAGCATCTCCTCCTCGTCCTGTTCCTGTCCCCCCTGTGGAAGAGGTCAAATTGGAGGAAGTGGAAGAGGAGCAGACGAAACATGCTTATTCAGTTGCAGTTGCCACAGCTGCAGCTGCTGAAGCTGCTGTCGCAGCTGCCCACGCTGCTGCAGAAGTTGTCCGGTTGACTACAGTGAACCAATTTTCTGGCAAATCACAAGAGGAAGTAGCTGCAGTAAGAGTTCAGACTGCATTTCGAGGTTATCTGGTATGCTTTTTTTTGCTATCGAGTTTTGCATTTTGTTTTGACTGGTATTCCCTGATATGGTCGCATTTGTTTCAATTGTTTATGACTTCTGAATAAATAGCACTAAATGTATGTTGTTTCGTTTTCGGAGAATGTAGAAGAAGTGGTTGATGCTGAGATAACCTTGCAAATATTTTGGTTTATCATTTGTAGGCTAGGAGGGCATTGAGGGCCTTACGAGGACTTGTCAGACTCAAATCGCTTGTTGATGGACCTACGGCCAAGAGACAAACTGCAAATGCTCTAAAATGCATGCAAACACTATCTCGGATGCAATCTCAGATTAGTTCAAGAAGGATCAGGATGTTGGAGGAGAACCGAGCTCTCCAGAGGCAGCTTATGCAAAAGCATGTGAAAGAACTTGAGAGTCTGAGGGTTAGTTTATTTCTTTTATTCTCTTCTTCTCGTTAAAGAGAGGATTTGGTGCTGGAATAGACGAACATGATTCTTCAATATGCACACTCAAGACAAATCTACCCCTCAATAACCAGAATGCCATTCAGTCATAGTCCCTTTGTCTCAATTTATTGGTCTTACTTTCCTTTTTAGTCCGTTTATAAAAGAATGCCTCTTTCCTCTTTTTGGCAACTCTTTAATCCTAACTTTCCACGTGACATATTTTAGACCACAAAATTAAAAGGGATTTTGGTACGTTCTTCATATCTTTAGTTTAAGGCCACACGATTCAAAAGTCTTTTCTACTTTCTTAAACTTCATGTCAAGTCAACAAACTAATTGAAACAAGAGGGAGTATTAAGTTTCTTACTTATGGGTCCTGGGGTGGGGAAGTTATGTCACAATTCAGCGGAATGGAGCTCAGAATATGCTGCAAGACGGGATTAGTTTTTTTGTTTCAAACATCTTCTATAATTGGTCAAAATACTTTGTTGATTTCCTATAGCTCTCTTTTGAACAGCTAGGGATCTTTGTATCATTCTGTGTTGTCAGCCAAGTTTATACTTCCATTACTTCTCTTTGGAGGGAGAGGGTTCTCGTCGTTTGGTTTAAGTAGGTGAACGTTTATTCTGGTGGAAATATGAACTTTCCTAATGAATTTGAACTTCTTATCTAACAGCACTCTTTGTTTTCTCATTTTTTGATAGAGAGGAGAAGAATGGGATGATAGTCTACAATCCAAGGAGCGGGTTGAAGCTAGCTTGCTCAGCAAATATGAAGCTGCAATTAGACGAGAAAGAGCGCTTGCATATTCATATTCTCACCAGGTATTCAACTAATATTTGTTTCATAGATTATAAGGCCCCGTTTAGACATGATCCCAAATCATAAGTCCAAAATTAAGAATGAAAGATTGCTGATAGCTTGGCCTCCATTCATGTTGTCCTCCCCTATTACACATACACTAATGCAAGACTCGAGAGATTGAATGATCGGTGTGTTTAGAGATTATAATTTTTCTCGAGCTAACAAGAACTTTATGAGTCATTGATTGTGTCAATTTTTAAAACTGAACAGCAAACCTGGAAGAAATCATCAAGATCTACCAATTTGTTGTTCATGGATCCAACCAATCCGCAATGGGGTTGGAGCTGGCTAGAGCGGTGGACGGGTGCTAGGCCTTGGGAAAGTCAAAGCATGTCTGAGAAACAACTTAAAACTGATCAGATATCTGTTAGAAGCGTGAGCATTTCTGGAGGAGAAATTGCGAAGTCATTTGCCCGTCATCAGCTGAATTCTGAACTCCCTTCGTCTCCATCCAGCCAAAAGCCAAGCCATCCATCAGGCTACCACTCTCCAACAACCCCTTCCAAGCCAACCACTTCAGTAGCAGCAGCCAGAAAACTGAAACCAGCAAGCCCGAGAATTAGTGCAATGAACCAAGATGATGATATCCGAAGCATGCAGTCAGAACAGAACAGGAGGCACAGCATTGCAGGATCATCTATAAGAGATGACGAGAGCCTGGCAAGCTCGCCTTCAGTCCCAAGTTACATGGCGTCCACTCAGTCTGCAAAGGCCAAAACACGGTTGCAAAGTCCATTAGGCATGGAAAATGGCACACCAGAAAAAGGATCAGCAGGGTCTGTGAAGAAGCGGCTCTCTTATCCACCGTCACCTGCCAGACCAAGGCGGCATTCAGGCCCACCAAAGTTTGACAACACCTCCTTGAACACCTCCATCACCGAAGATCATGTGAATGGAGTCGTGAACTAATTATTCTTGTCACAAACAATAAGCAATCCTGCCACCCTTCTGGCTTATAGGTATGCGTTAAAAATGCCATTCTTTGTGCAATATCAACTACTTTGATTTGCTGCACTTGAGTCGAATGTCCTTCAGAAACAACCTTTCTCTCCCAGACCTCACTTGTGGGATTTCACTTGGTATGTTGTTGTACGGGCTTTGCCCTGGATGACTTGCTTTTCGCGTTACTTTCTCTCGCGGTTGTTGATGCCAACAAAAGTGCCAATAGTTGTGAATCATTTTAGATAACATTTCCTTGATTGTGATTACATATATGATTGTATTATTTTTAGTACTATGTACACCCTAATAGTGAAAGAAAAAAATGTTACTACTTCTTTGTTCAGACAATTGGATACTTCTTGTTTCACCTTCCCATGTATCTGGAGAAACTTTCTGGAGTGAATATAGTAAACTAGACAATGTGATTGGAAAATGAACGCGTGTACAATGACTACGTCTCAATTCCAAATAAGTCAGGGTCGATTATATGAATCCTTACGAAAAAATACACATGAAGTGTGAATGATCTAATACATCTGGAAAAAAATATGTGTGAATTTTACCAGCAAGCATGCAGTTACTTCTTCTGTTTTAATCTTTTTGTCTTACTTTTTTTATTTTTTAGTTCCTTTGAAAAATAAAACATGATTATTTTGGCAATTTCTTAATTGCCATTTTTTAAATGTCATGTTTAAGAATTAAGATCACAAAATTTAAAAATATTGTTTCAAATTTTATGTCAAATCAAAGGTAGATAAATAATTTTTTCCTTTTACTTCTCAAAATTCAATATCAAACTAAAGTCAGACAACTAAATTAAAATGGAGAAAATATAATATATATACTTTTTCTATCCCAATTTATGTGAGACTTTTCATTTTTCGAGAGTCAATCAATTTAAATTTGGCTAACAATTTGCGCATGGAATCTTCAAATTTTTTTAAATGAAATTTATATATTTGTAAACTAAGTAAAATGTACTATAAATCATAATAATGATAATTCAAAATGTTTAAAAGGTCTATGAAAAACTTACAATAAAAAATAGACTTGTTTGAATCTCTGAAAAGTGCCACATAAAATAAAACGAAAAGTAACTTTTATTGGAAAAGAAGAAGAGTTTAACACCACGGAATGAGTTCAAATTAGATACACAATAACTTAAAAAGAAATTTTTATATCATTAAATCACCTTTATATGTGACAACATGTAAAATTTTATGTAACCTCAAGATCACAAATTCCAAAGAGACTTTACTATAAATGGTCTTCTCAAATGACTTAGTAATACTTTTTCCATTTATTTTTATTTATCTAATATTTCAAAAATAATTTTTTATTTTTATTTGTAACTTCAAAAATAAAATTACTTTACTCTTAATATTAATTACTTATTCTCCAAATTATTTCCTATTATTTAAGAACATACATTAATTAATATGAATATTATAATAAAATATACAATCTTCTCGAGTGACTTGATAATACCTCATATGTTCACTTTTACTTGCGGAATAACGCACGTGCAAGATACAAAATGAACAAATAAAAATGAACGGAACAAATAAAAATGGACTGAGCAATAACCCTAACAAGAAAAAGTGCGACCCAACAAAAAAAAAACTTATAAATTTGAAAAAAAAAACCCATCAATGGATTCTCAATTGGTCTAAATCTCATCTTCGTTATATTCAAGCTCTTAGGTGAAGAACCATCAGAAAAAATGGTGAGAACTCTTTTTCTTCTATTAATTTAGGACTATTTTTGTGGAAAAAGAATCATAATTTTTACTTCTTTAAACTCTTATTAAATTGTGAAAAAAACTTAGCAATTGTCTGTTTTGTTTACCTTCAATAGTTGATACTGGGAATTTATGAATCTTTAATCATCTGTGTTTGTTCTATGCTTTTGTACTTTTTGGGGGTTGTTATTTGCTGGTTCTGATCATAGAGATTTGAACTTTTCTTCTTTTATTTCAAGAAAATTTGTCTGAGACCAACCCTTATGAGTTATGACCAACTGCAGCCTTTGTAACTCGAGGATACTCGGCCTGCCCCTAGGCTCGATACTTGATTTTGATATGCTTTACTTGAGCTGATGTTTGTTGCTCTTGTGTCGAGGGTCTTTTGGAAACGACCACCTCTAGGTAGTGGTAAGGTCTGTGTTCACTTTACCCTTCCCAGACCCACTTGTAGTATTTCACTAGGCATTTTCTTGTTGTTGTTTACTTGAGTTGAGGATTTATCGGAATTAGCCTCTTTAATTTCACAAGGTAGGGATAAGGTTGTGTACATACCACTCTCCCCGAACTCCACTTTTGGGACACACTAGGTATTTTGTTGTTGTTGTTGTTAGTTAGTTAGTTAGTTATAGGGCTAGAACTTGGGATCTCAGCCGCAAATCCCTCAACCTCTGCCAATTGAGCTACGCATGCCCTGGGGCATAAAGTTTCAAACTTTTGATTCTTTGATTTGAGATTGTTGCTTAAAATGGTTATGCTATGAACTTGAGTTGGGAAATTGCTTTGTGTGATGATGTTGCCTATGCATATTTATTTCATGTCCTTGTCTTATTTGCTATTTTCGATCCAAGGTATCATTTTTGTCATCAAGTCTCTTTGTAAAAACCTTTGGTTTCTTCTATTATGTGAGTATTGGGTTTTTATGCATCTTTAATCTTTTGTGTTTGTTGTCTATGCACTTCATTCTTATGGGAACCTTTATCCTTCCAGTTATGGTAATAAAGCTCCGAAAATATTTGTATTTAAAGCCAAGGGGTCTTATCAAAAACAACCTTTCTACCTTACCCACGGTAGGTAAGGTTTGCGTACACACCACTTTCCCCGGATTCCATTTATGGTATCACGGTTTACCTTTTCCTTTGAAAAAACCTCTTGGAAGTGGCAATGTAGGGATCGCTCTAAACTATTTGGAACAGACCGGCTTCTTGAGCTCCGTGGATAGAAGAGATAAAGATAGGGATCTATCTAGATTTTGATTCACTATTTCCTTTTTGTTTATCTTGATTCTAATTGATTGCTTTTTTGAGGGAATCCCCATCTGCACCCGAATTAGCTAAATCTAGTATAGAGGGTCTTGTACCGATGCAGGATAAAAGGCATCTCCATCTGATTGGTTGCCTCTTTGTACATTCTTGAGTCATTGTTCAAATGGGAATATTATTGGGAAAAACGGTTTTGAGATAGCTCCATACATTAGGCACCGTACCTCGCCTCAGATAAAAGCCTCATAGTCTGGTATTTAAGTGGAGAAGGGTACTTTGTCTTGTTTACACTCGAAATTTACATAATTCTAAATTGTGCTTCAGGTCGCGCCATTAGTAGCAGGAATGGCTATAGCCGCTGCTGCATATGCTTCAAGGTATGGAGTCCAGGCATGGCAAGCATTTAAGGCCAGACCTCCCACTGCGAGAATGCGCAAGTTTTATGAAGGAGGTTTTCAGCCTACAATGAACAGAAGGGAAGCAGCTCTGATTCTTGGAGTCAGGTCTGTTCTCTCATTAATGTTAACGCGTTGCTGCAATTCCTATATGAGATGTTTTAAAGTACTACTCAAGTTAAATCTATCTCCTTGAGTCGAAGGTCTATAAGAAACAGTCTCCTTAACCTCCCTAGACCCCACGTGTGGGAATCATGTTGGGTATGTTGTTGCTACATAGGTTAAGTCATTATATGAATACAATCTCTATTCTTTAAACAACCAAAATTTCTATATTCTGAAAAATCCTTCGTTCTACATTGTGAACGTGTTAGTCTGATTGTAGTACTTCACTATCAAATCCACTTTCTCTGAAGGTACAGTTAGTACTATTCGCCTCAATTTTATGGAGGTAAACTACATAACGCTATCCTTGAACCTGTTAGGTTTGCACCACATTTTTGGCGTTCTTGACTTTTGGTCTAACGCTATTATTTGTTGGTGTTTGTATAGTATAATGATATTCGATATATAAGAACAGCAGGACGAGTAGTCTTTCTCGTCTGTTTTCCTTTCTGGATTTCATTATATTGACATCAATATCTTCAACAGGGAAAGCACTGAAGCAGATAAAGTGAGGGAAGCACATAGGAAGGTGATGGTAGCTAACCATCCAGATGCAGGAGGTAGTCACTACCTTGCTTCTAAAATAAACGAGGCGAAAGACACTTTACTTGGGCAGACAAAGAGCAATGGATCCGCGTTCTAGGCTACACGAAATTTTTGCTGGTGCTTAGACATTCCAAATCCAAGAGTCTTTAGGCAAAAAATTAGACACTAGAACATTGAGAATACATTATAATTCTTCTAAATGAAAAAGATGTACAAGTTACAACTAGTTTGTTTTAATTCTAAGCAAGCTTGAGAAGTCGATTATATGAATTCTCTCTATTCATGTGGCATTTTGGGTAGGTGGAGGGCTCTGCTTACACACCATCCTCTCCAGACGCTGTCGTTGTCGTCATGTGGCATTTCACTCCATTTGTATAGGTAAGGGGGCTGAGGAATTGCAGTAATATTACTAACAGAACCAGAAATGTGTATGCTTCCAAAATCTGAATTATGTGGTTTTGAAGACCAGTTGCCAGCACCCAGTAATCTTTGACAAGATCAGCAAGGAATCAAATTATGTTCCTTTGTGTATTACTCATTCTCTAATATTTTTAATTCTAACAACAACATACCCAAATAGTTCCACGGGTTGGATCTGAGGAGAGTGGGGTACGCAGACCTTGTTCCTACCTAACGAGAGGAGAGGTTGTTTCCAATAGAACCTCGTCTCAAGAAAAAGTATTTTCTTAGTTAAAACTTCGCTGATACAATGAAATTTACATCAGAAATTTAGAAAATAAGCATCACTGGAGATGTTAAGATCAACTTTCTGTCAAATTAGTCATCAAACACAGAAACTTGTAACAAACAAGGCAAAGATATGCCCTCTTAGGGGAAAAAAAAAGAAGAGATTCCTGTGATCAACTGTTACTCACTTCTGTTACAATTCGTAGTGAAATCCGAAAAGCACTATCCACCCAAAACAAAAAAAAGAAAAATATTTGGAGCCCATTAGGACTGCTCGTACATCTGATCTTTTGTGCTCCTGGAGAAACGGAGCATTCGTATGGTATATACATCAGTAGTTAGTGATGACGAAACCTTTTCTGCTCATTCTGCTGCCAAATTGAGATTTGCAGCTTCCTGTTCTCCATCTTCTTCCGTTGGAGCTTCAATGCTCTCTTCAAGAAGCCCCTGAGGGCTTCCGAAAATGGTCAGGAACATTTGTCTATGGCATTCGTCACAGAAGAAGAAATAGGAAAAGTGGCCCTCATCAGGAAGCTTGTGCACCACCACTCTTGGCAGAATTCTAGCTACATAGTCGGTCATTTGGTGTGGTACAACCTGATCATCCAATCCCTGTTCATAATTCAAATGCTGATGAAATGTGTACTACACAGTGGAGACAATCCTATCTTTGCACATACAACGTTCTAAAGAAACTCAATGCAGGAAGAAACGGAGAAAGCAGATGAAACCGAAAAAATAAGATTTGAATGTTCGCAAACCTGCCATATGTGAACTGGTCCTAGAAATCCAGTCAATTCGCACCTCACTTGACCATAACCAAACTTAAGCCATGATAGAATCCCTTTACCAGAACACTTTTCTTGCACTTGAAGATCCACAAGGTTAAACCCCCAATTTGACACCTGAAGTGAAGCTTCCTCTATAAATGGCTTAGTGCTGCCCTGACGTATTGATTCCTCAACATCCCTGTGCCAAAACTCTTCAAAGGCTGGTTCTCTGATCAGCGCTTTATCCTGAGAACACAAGATAATACATGGCAAAGATAATTAAAATGTTACTGAAGACATTGCAAGCAGAAGACAGAGAGAAGTAACCATGTCTCTTTTCTGCATCTCTCACAAATACAATCAAATCAGTCTCAATCCAACTAGTTGGGGAATTGAGGTTCTCCAGGTAGGGGCTGAATTTACAATTCTCTGCTACATCTATCACACACAGAACAAAACAAAACAAAACAAAACAAAAAAAGAGGAAGAACTTGACTGCTTTCGTAATGATGCAAAGTGTTCACTTTTAAAAAAAAAAAAAAAAGAATTATATTTTGGAATGAAATCTTTTTAAGTTTTTAGTTAGTGCAGGTCACTTACTACAGGCAATCCAAACTGAAAATATAAGAATGAATACATTGTGGACTCCCTTTTTCTTGTTTCTGAGAGGTGCACAAGTAACATTTGCATTCCATAATCACTGATAAGACCACCTCTGGAGGACCGGAGGGGGTAGGGGGATCCAACATTGAAAATTTATAGCTGAAATCCACTTACTCAAATTTCACATTATTTGCATGCAGGGTTTTCAATTTCTTCTGTATAAAAATATCTACCTTTTGTCCCAGCGACAGAGACATGTATTTATCAATTTGACCATGCTTTCCAGATAGAAATGTCCGGTGATAGAAGTAATCAAGAAATTTTGGAGATCTTCGAGCTAAGTAGTATGTCAATTTCCTTTTCCTTGTCCACTTGTTCCAAGTTTCTCTCGTCTCTTCTTTGGTCATGCTTGATTCATATGGGTTGATAAATGGGGAAAACATAGCTACACCTGTAACAGGATGATAAAATCATCAGAAATTTGATGAGTAAGGTTTATGTGATCAATTAGAGGGTGATGTTTTATCAGACGATCCAACAACCAAGTAAGCTATTGCATTACAGTGTGAGTCATCCAAGAGATGTTCCTTTTATCTCTCCTATTTTAAGAGATCACCAATTGTTGATTGTGGTGAACTGACTTAATTGCATATTACCATGCCATTCTACTTGAACTTTGACACTCCATTCATGCCAAAAGAGAAAAATAGCCTTCATGGTTTAGTAGAGAAGAGTTAACAATAAAATGGGAGAATGAACATACCAGCAACTCGGTCAGATATAAATTTCATTGCAGCCCAAGCATGTATTGCTCCACTTGAGTAGCCCAAAACCCAGAATTTACTATTAACTCCTAAGGCATCAGCCAAGTATTGCATGTCCAGAGCAGATGAGTTAAGGTTCCGCTCAGGGTGTGAATCACTCTCTCCAAAACCTGGAAGGTCATAAGTTACCAAACGAATGCCAAACTCTTCAAGAAGTGATACTTTCACTCCAGGTATACCTATCACAAAAAACCATATAGAACAAACTAGTTAACATCAACCATTGTTGTTGTTGTTGTTGTTGTTGTACTAGCTATACAGCAAGTCCCTACCTCCAAGTCGAGAAGAGAGGAAGCCATGTGGAGCAATTACAGAATATCTAGCTTTGTTTGATGGAACTCCTATCTCCTGGTATGCCATATGTCTGCCGTCTGGAAGCAGTATACGAGTAGCACTAGGAGGATGTATGTGCACTTCTTTCACTGGCTTGCCTGAGGTTTCTTGTTTACTATTTACACTCAATGCTGCAGATGTCACCAATTATCAAAAGAGAAACCAAGAGAATCATGAACCACAAGGAAAAAGGAAGGAAGTATAATTAAGATCCCGGGAATATAGTAATAGAGCCTAAAATGTTGCAAAGGATCCCAAAGTGACTAATAATATTACAATGGATCCCACAAATAAAGAGAGGAAACATTTCTAAAGCTTCTTCTTCGTCAAAGATAATGCTAGATTTGAAAATTTCAAGAGATCTAAAGTAGTTAAAGCCTTTAAATTTCTTTACTCCATCGTCTTCAAAAGAATGGAATGGTTGGAGCAGGAAGGTAACTCATCTACTTTTTTTAAAATTGGATTTCTTAAATTTTCAAAATTCACATATTCAGAAACCATACAATAAGTACTACAAAATACAATATTCTAAAGATCAGAAAAATTTTAAATTTTGTTTTAGAACTGTAGCAACAGAAAAGTATGATTCCCGTTATAGTAATAGTGCCAAACAAGGAGTCTTTTTTAAAACATAAACAAACTGAGCTACTAAGATAGTCGGACAATCAACTGAGCTACTAAGATTTCCCGCTAAACAGAGAGTAGTTTTCCTATTCTTCCATTTCTATGTGGAGCCGAATGCTAATAAAGAATTTCAGCTCTACAATCACAACTTGTATGAGAAGTTAATCAACCAAACATGGATAAAATCCACAAAAGGTAATCAAAGGTGACGAGTATTTTGACTACTACAGTAACTAAAACCTCACACTTCGAAATTCAAAATTCAAAATTCAAAATGTATGTTTACAGAGTCTACATGATGCCAATGCTAAAGTAGAAATTCTCAAAGTACTAACAGAAAGCAAAAATTTACCGGACAGGGCGAGGATGAAGACGAAGAAAATCACCGGCCAAGCATGCACTGGATCACGATCTTCCGGCAAAAACTCGTTCAAAACACTCAACCTCCTGGAAGCTTCAGCTAAAGGACCCTTAGTTTTCTGCACAATGTAAGATTCCTCAGTCAACAAGCTTTGTTGCACCACATCTCTACAACCTCTCATCAATTCCAGCAACATTTCTCCCCAGGCCTTCGCGAAACCTTCGATTTGGTCCTTAAAACTCTCCGGCTCCGCTACAACCTCCTCAATCGCCGGCGACTCATACACCGATCTCTTCTCCTCAAACGCCGGCGTAGAATACGTCGGAGCAGAGATTTCTACAGCATCTCCGGCAAACCTTATCCCACTATCCTCCACTAAACTCGCTAGCTCGTCTCTCCATGACTTCGCAACTGCAACATCCGCCATCGTATGTCTTATCTCTCAATATATATCTAGTTGATTAGAAAAAAAAAAAATATCTAGTTGATTAGCTGTAGTTCATCGTTTTTTCACCTAAATGCTTCATCACACGTGCTTCACCTATAGATTCCACCAGCTACAAGAGTTTTCAGTTGAGCTGTCTACACTTACAAACACACATTACGAAGCAAATATGAACATAAAATTCGAGTTTTCCGGTAACTGTTGACTATCTATTTTAGTGTTAGTAAAACTATAAGTAGGATTTTACTGATAGAGTGAGAAATGAAGGAAGATAGCCGCTGTGTTCCGGGGACTTCGCGGAGGAGAGTGGCGGTGCACGGTGGCCGGAAAAGGGACAGTGGAGAGAGAATATTGTATAAAGGAGATAGTGATCTGCTCACTTAGCTAGCGTTTGGCCATAGATTTCCAAATATTCTTGGCAAATATTATTTGGGTGAAAATTTGGGTGAAATTTCATCATGTGTTTGGCCATAGTATTTGTGAAATATATTTCACTTTTTAGAAAAATATGATTTATACCCATAAGTTTTAAAAACTATCAAAACTAACCATAATTTTGTATTACAAGTCAATTGGATCTTCGTTGCAACAAATAACAAGTAGTTTCCATGCCACTAGAGCAATGTGGTAGTTTGGAGTGAGTGCAACAAACATCATTTCATACATCGTGAAGTAGACAAAGCACATGACTTTGTTACCTTGAGCCGATTGTTCATCATTTTCATCAACAACCATATCATCACTTCATATTCACTGAATATTTCATCACTATTTTGGTGTTCACGTAAAAAATTATGTAATACAACGCAAACAACTACTATAGAGGGTGTTTTTGTAAAAGATAAAAGTTTGGTGTAAAATTTCAATTTTCAAAAGATCCCAAATAATGAGATTTGGCCCAAATACTAGAAAAAACTAGTATTTGGGAATTTGGGATATTTGCCAAAAATATTTGCCAAATAATGGCAAATTGTATGGACAAACACTATTTGCCAAATTTTCCCCCAAATATTATTTGGGAAATCTATGGCCAAACGGGCCCTTAGTAGTAACAAGTATGTGACAGTAATTAATTAATGTACAATAATTCTGTGGGGGCCCATTCTCTTTTTTTAGTTATTTTTCTTTTTACTTTTGTTTTACCGCTTTTTTTTTTTTTTTTTTGCTTTTAAAAGAATTATTAAAAAATGATTTATTTATTTATTAAAAAATACTATAATTTTATGGATCAAGTTTTAAATTTACAAAAAATTGAAATCTCGTAATTTCAAATCACATATTCAACGTTGATTTCAAATTATGACTACGTATCATATGCCAAATACAAAAAAAATTGATATAGAAATTTCATATTATGATTTTTCAGTTTTTAAATATACAATTAACATATAAGTTTATATTCTATAAAAAATATAAAAAAAATCCGCGTTTCATATCTATTAAATTTGTGTTTCATATATAAATAAAATTTATAGTTGATATTATTATTCTTGTCAATTTTTAAACTATTTATAGTTGATAACTATTACTTTCACCAACATAAATTTCATTTTCAATAATTCATCTCCTCGATCGACAATCAAAAATTACACATTCAATATGATGAGATTATTCGTACTATGAGATAGAATTGTATTGGCTTGTTTGGAAAGTCATTATGGTAATTAGATTTGGTGTAATTACATTGTCTAGCATGTTTGGTTGGCTATGTAATTACTTGATCAACATGTAATTGAGTATAAATGACAGACATTGTTAAACTCTTAAAATCTCAAGGAGAGGCTGTGAATTGTTGATAATTACATGTGTAATTACTTTTTAATTTCTTACTTTTATTTCTATTTTTATTTTTGTTGTTTTAATTTATTTTTATTTCAATTATTTTAATATAATTTTAACTTTTATTATTCTAAAAGTTTCTACAAATATTTTTTATATTATATTATTTATATTTCATTTCCTTCTCATTCTCAATCTTTACTTTTTGTGATTCCATGCAATTCTTCGTATTATCTATTTTATTGATTTATTCTATGTTTATTTTTTTCATTATATAATTTTGTTAGTATTAAGTTTTTAAACTAGTGTAGAATTCATTGTTGAATAAGGTTATAGATTTACATTTTTATTTTCATTTAAATATTTATGTAGGTTATGTTGAAATTTGACATATGAGTATTATATTAAATTTTTTATTTTGAATTTAGAACTTATGTTATATTTCCATTTCATTTGTTTTAGTAGTATTGATTTGATGTTTCACGTTACAATTCTTTTTTTTTTAGTTAGATTTGATAGATTATCTTTTCGTCAAATATTTTCATAATTTACAACATTATATTATAACATTAATCTTTTTGCAAAACATGTATTTTATATTATTCATAAAAATCTTGTACTTTTAGGTTTGATTATTAATTTAATAAATATACTAATTTGAAAATATATACTAATTATTTTTTTATAATATTAGTTAATTAAGAACATATGTTTGTTCATTAATATATTTTAAAAGACAATATATATCTTAAATATTTAATTTAATATCATTTATAAAGTCCCTTATTTATTTAATATAGATTTTTAATTTTAGATAATTAATTTTTATTTTTCAAATTTAATATAACCTTATGATTATATTTGTGCAATCAAACAGTACATTTATAATTACACTAAACAAGCAAATAATTCAATGCAACTAATAGATAATATAATTACTAAGTTAATAATTACTATCTTAATAATTACATCAATTAGCACGTGACTTTCTAAACCAACCCTCAAGAAGTAGTGAGGCGCATGTGAGGTTTGCTTTTCTCATATCGTGTGGCTAACGTAACGTAAAATATACTCTCTTTCCTATTCAATCCTAACCGACCATTGCAGAAGAATCACATCTTCTACCATTAAAAATAAAGTTTAAAAATACTAACATCACCAAAAAGTAAAAGTTAAAAAAATAATGTCTATTATGTATTATTAATATTTTTATTGTATATTTCTGGTTTACATATATTTTATTGTATAGTGAGAGATGTTATTGTTGATATCATGAGTTTTTATGTATTACTAGTAATTTAAAGGATTTCAACACATTTATTAAGTTTGATTAATAGCATAATTATCTCTCCATATATCTGTTAACACCCAATTTTGACCCTCTACAATCTATATTAGGGCTATTTCTCTTTTTCTTCAGTCCAATTTATTCCTCCAATTTTGACCCTTCACATATATCAAACACAAATATTTGTATTTGTATTTGTATATACAATTTTCTCTCGCTTTATACAAACATAAACACAATGTATACATTTGTGTTTGTATAAAGTGAGAGAGGCGAGTGAGAGTGGCGAGCGAAATCTGGGAGAGTGTCGAGCAAGATCTGGAAGAGGGGAACGAAAATATATGTATATATACAATTTTCTTTCGCTTTATACAAACACAAACACATTTTATAAATTTGCGTTTGTATAAAAGTGAGAGAGTTGAAGGAGAGACTGCCGAGAGTGGTGAGCGAGATTCATCAGAGAGAGAGGCGAAAAAACAACAGTTTACTACGGGTACAATTAAATCAAACTGTGATTATGACATTTAATTTGAATTAATAGTTTACTATTGTATAAAAAAAAAAAAAAAAAAAAAAATTCCAACCCAATTCAGCCCACTTTTATTTCCCAATCGACCCAAACCCAACATCCATCAGCATACACGACAAATACAATACAGCAATCAAACGACAGCAGCGTCAACAGTAGGTTGGAGAGGGAAGCACAACAATGGCGAATGAAACAATGGCTGAACAACAAAAGAAACGAACAATGGAGGCATTAGAGCGAAGATTTGCTCAAGCAAAAGCTGAAATTCATCAACAGCAGCACAAGAACAAGAGAGTAGCTGTTACTACAACAAAAACTCTAGCTGAAAATAACATTGGAGTCACTTCCCAGAGTATCAATTCTTCGCCTTCGCCGCTCAAATCAACTACTACTTCCTCAGCTCCGTCATCCAAAAAAGGTTCCTTCTTTTAATAGTATTTATCAATTTAACAACTGTGGTGGAGCCAAAATTTTCATTAAAGGGTTCTAAATGAAGAATTAGGCCAAGGGGCCTTGTTTGTATATATGGGGTAATTTTCTGTTGAATAAACCCCTTGCTTCTACCTGGCTCCACTCCTGAATTCAAGGAATCCTCTATATTCATGCTGTCTATATTAATAATAGAATTCGACTAATATTGTATTTTATGCCTGGATTTTATATTACTGCTTGATCTGCACTTTGGGTGGAATTATGTTCCAATTTTATGTCTTCTTAAACGAATTTCAACTTTAAAGTAGCAGCTAATGTGTTTTGGTTAATTGGAGGGAAGTAAAGTTGAGGTTTTTTTTTTTTGGGGGGCGGGGGCGCTCTAGGTTTAACTGTAACCGTGATTGACTGTCTTTATATGACATAGGCTAAAAAACTGGTTTCTGGCCTTCCACTGTTTCAATAATTGGCACTATTGCTATATGAAACCGTTTTTGATTTGGCTACAACTTTTTCAAAGGATATCTTAAGTTATTGTGATTTATAGATTCTTTAATCACAAAGTAGTTCTTTAATCCAGCATACTCAGTCATGTCTATGCTTGCATCTGTTCACTCTCTTAGATGACAAAGTAGTTCTGCAAGTTTGAATATTCACCAAATTCAAATTTCTGTGCAATATTCCCCGAATGCTCAACTGCTATACTTGAAGCCAATTCATATCCTTCCGTGATTCAAATAGGGTGAATACCACGTTCTAACAATTTCTCCGCTTGTTCTAGAACTGACTTAGCCATGAAAACAACTTCAATAATTCCATCACCAATTTCTTTATCTTGACTTCTCGCCAACTCAACCATCAAATCTGCAATCTGATTGTCAACATATGGTTGCATCATCATTTCTGATATTGACATCCCTGTTAGGGTTCTGAAATCAGTGCTAAACCATGAATTTTTTTCTGATATTCTCTTTGATTTATCTGTAAACTTTTGGCATCCAAAAGCAGTGTAACAGTTGGCGTTTTCCAGGGAATGTTAGTTAGACATTTTAATGTGATCCCTCTTGATTTCATCCTCCAAAAATAAAAATAAAATGAACCCTTATTGATTTATCTCATCCAAACATTTTCATGGTTTATTTGTAGGCTATATATCTTTTTCTGGCCATACATCTGCTCAAGGTACAATGTTTCCTCTGTATGCTTCTCTTGCATTTTATCCATAGAAAGGTATACATGAGACTAATTCAGGATGCTAAATTTCGTCCTACCACATAGATGTTGAACTGAATAATCCAGCATACCTTCAGATAACCCATTCAGTAGACGATAATCTTCTGAAAATTACCACTGAGGTAAGAATAAACATGATCAATATGATGTTTCAAGGATGCGTACTATTAGTTAGTCGCTTCTTCATTACTCATCCTGTTTGTTTGTTGCAGATTTCTGGTAAAAACATGATTGCTAACGATATTTTGCACGATCTTCTCCAACATGGTGATTCAGCTCAGAAATATATGCAGGGGTCAAAAAATGTGAAAGTTGATAACTGGATTCTTCTTGATAGTGTTGTGCAAAAAAGCAGCATTGCTACTGGAGCTCGTAGTCGGGCTTTGCAGAGACAGTCGAAGAGATCTAAAAGACACATGTCCATAAGGCAACATAAGAAGTTTGGATCATTTGATTTGCCTCAAGAGTACCATAAGTGAGTTCCATCTACTTTTTGAGTAAAGATGTTTTAGATTGCCTTTTTAAAACTTTCTGCCCCTCTCAGTGAGGAATCATGTGTAGTTTTTAAACTTGCTACAGTACACTGCAGTTTGTCTTTTCTTCTGTTTGACTAGATGAGTCTAACTATGTTGGAAGTTGAATGTTGAAGTCTCATGGTAATTAGTAGATTCAATTGTGGTGTGATTACTTATTTGTTTTGATATTGTAAAGATTTTCGTAAAATCTCTTAATTAAGAGCCATCACATGGAAAGGTCATCTTCTAAGAATAATTCACGCATTTTTTTCGTCTAAAATGAAGTTGGTGTGAATCAGTAAGATGACCTTTTCATGCGATGGTCTTGATTAAGAGATCAACTGCTACATTAATCTCATGTGGCATGTGATATCGGTTGTCCTCTATCTGCTGTGGTTATTATTATTTTTTTAATCGTGGAAGGTATTTTATTGAATGACCAGTTACCAGTAACCAGAAAGTGCTGTGAGTATTTACAAGGAGTTGCAATAATGCATACTGTGTAATGATCTAAAAAATCTATCAGCCTCCATATCATTTGATCTGATGTGGTAATTATCTGCACAGTTATCCTTGGGAGGACAAAAGATGAATAGGCTGCTATTTCTTCTCCCTTATGTTGTTAATGGTATATATTGCTAATCTAGAAAGTCAAAGCCCAAAATGGATATCTTACACAGTGTGGTTCTGCTGCATAAAATTCAATTTCCAAATGATTGAATTCATCTGTCTACTTATTTGATTTTTAGCTATGTTGTTCATCTAGGATTCTAGGAACAGGGTTACTTTTTAGATGCTTCACCTTGTTCAGCAGTGAAAGCTTATTTTTTTTTGGGGGCTTGCGTACTCTGGGGTCACATATAGCCAAATATTCCTAGATACTTACCATTGATGATACCTCATGGATATTATCTCCTTTCACTTTTATATATGCATCCGATGTGCGCTTGACCTTATTCCTTGTTCTTATATTGGTTGGTTCTTTTATAGGTTGGTCCCCCCGCCTGGTTCTTTTTTCCTTTTTAATTTAATATGGGGTATTGATTTGAGCAGCAAAGTTATGTATTCACTTTCTGGTGTTGCCTGGATCATCTCTTGTTCTGAAAACTCTCTATGGCTTGTTCTGCAGCTATGACATCTTCAAGCCAATGCATGATAGGTGGAAAAACTATGTGACAAAACTCCTAAAGAATATTGGGTTGGTGTTTTGTTTCATCACTTTTGTTATGGTTTAGTTTTTTCTAAAATAGGCCTTTCCTCTAGTGATTCTGATAAACAATTGACTTGTATGTCTCTCTCACCTACAATATTGGTCTTGCAGGAAAAATCAGTTATCACAATGTCTTCTTAATGCAGACTTACATGGTGCACTTATTCTAGGTGAAGTATAAGTCACATCTCCTCCTCTTTAACTCTTTTAGGTAGACCTTTCAAAACTATAACAAGGAAATGCTATATTGTTACTCGCTGATTCGGTCCTGTCACTAATGTTTTACAAGGATCTAAGCATTCTTTGTGGTTGATCTAAATTAGGATAAGCAGTTCTCTTTATCTAAAGCCTGAATAATAGAACTTTGATAGAGAAAATTTTCGCTGTTTAACTCTTGTACAGTGGCACATGCTCACAGATAATATAATTCTTTGTTTCTGAAAAATTGTGACATTTATTTCTTGCAGTTGTTCAGTGCAAAATAGCAGGCTTAGTTGGTGTACGTGGTATCATGATTCGTGAGACCATAGAAACATTTGGAATAATCTCAGAAGACAACAAATTCCAAGGTTTGTCCTGTTCAACTTAGATTTCGTTGGCTACAATATGACATACATATACGTAGCAAATATATGTCCATTACAGTCTACTTTCAGTAGGGTTGATACCGGAGTAGAACATATTTTGACGCTTGCTTGCTTCTATCTTCTCTTTATTTTTCTTTTGCATTCTTGGTTGAGCGCTTTTCGGTTGGGCCACTCACCTTGATGAGCAATGAATCATACTACCAATTGAGGCAGTATTTTCAAGTTTTGTTAGTTTTCATTTCTACTTGTGCCATTCACATCCTTAGCTTAAAAATATTGTATTTCATTTTGAATCCAAAAGAAATTGGCACCCTAGCCGTTTTGCTATTGTTCTGAAAGAAATCTTTGGGAAGAGTAATCCATTCCGACTCTCCTTCTGGGAATCGCACCTCAGTGTAGGCTCATTTGGTAAATACTCTGTCCAACCTTATCCTTATTTCAACTAATTTTAGTTCTTCCACTTTCCATTAAGCTGTGAGTAGTCACCCATGCTGTCATTGCGACCTGAACTTCTATTTGATGCACCTTGTTGGTAATTTGGTGTATATTCTGTAAGATATTGTATTGATTAGCTGGTTCTTATTATGTATATTAATTTTCAGAGGCTTGGTAACTAAGTCTATAAATCCAATTATTGTCTTTTTTTTTTTGGATGAAGAAAGGTATTTCATTAAAAAGCATCAAGCAGATGCAAAATTACAGAATAGACAAAAGGGCTCACAGAGAGTATAAGCAAAAGTTGTTAGCTCCTTTACAATCTTCAAACTAGTACTAGAGAGCTAACAAGGTCAAGAAATAGTTCACTGCCAAATACAGGGGTTAAATTAACCCAACTGAACAGCATAAGTAAACATCTAGCTTTAAGAGAGTGGCTTGGAGTTGAGATCCCATCAAAACATCGGACTACGGTTCCTTTCAATCTATTAACACCAAAAAGTAACTCCAGGGATCAGACTTTCTTGATGGACTTATCAACTCCATGTATTCCAGCTTGCGTAGTCTTCTTTCACATTATGTGGCATGACCCATTGTAAGCCAAAAATGCATCAGAACATATTCCATAGGACCTTAGCCACTGCACAGTAAAGGAGCAGGTGATCGACTGTTTCTGTGCTATTCTTCTTACATCCTCAAGAGTGTCTATTATACATGATTTGGAGCAGGAACCTATAATCGACTTCTTATGTGAAAACCTTGAACCAAGCTAAGAAAAACTACTTCTCTTCTATGTTGCTTGGACTCTCCAAAATGCTGCCTGCCGTGTCGGATCCATCACGCACTCGGCGCCATTTTTGAAGAGTCCAAGTAACCTAGCTTATCTTTCCCTTGTCAATTTATGCCAAGAGGAGAAAGGGATGGGGAAAGAATGCATAACTCCAGTTCTTGTTTTTTTACTGCCTTCTCTCATCTTATTGCTTATCTGAATTGCAGTTGTACCAAAAAAGCTTTCTGTATTTATGCTACAAGTGGATTGCTGGAAAGTTACATTGCTTGGAGACAAACTCATTTCAAGAAACATGACTGCGTGATCGATATTGTGAAGACAAATATTTATCATATGGGAAATTTCTTCACCTTTCAGGTGAGTGGCATTACTCGCAACTACACATCTAAAATTGTTGCCACAAGCTCTGGTTATAACTAAACTTTCTTTTTGCAGTATCATCTTACAGATGAACAATGATCCCAATAGCTGTATTATTTCTTGGAAGATCAATTGGCCTAGTTTTCGTTCTTTTAGCCGATGCTGATCAAAAGAAAGACTACGTTGGGATTACAAAGGGGCATCTAAGGGCATTATTAGTTTTTGAAATTTCAATTCTGTATTAGAATTGAATGCGTCTTTGTTAGGTAAGTTTTCCCTCGGTGATAAGAATTGATGCAACAGTTTTTATATATTTTTATTGAGACACTGGTCAAGGAGCATATCAGTTGTTGCTGCAACAGAAATTCAACAACAACTACGTACTCCGTGAAACCTCACAAGTGGGGTCGGGGGAGGGTGGTGTGTACACAACTTTATACCTAACCTGTGAAGGTAGATAAACTGTTTCTGATTGAGATATTCCTCGGGTCAGTTATAGGTGTACAGTTTAACTTTTTATATAGAAAGTGATATTTGTCATATTTATTTTCTGGTTGTGTAACTAATAGCCATACACATACTGAGTTGCATAAAGTAAACACTATGGAAAGAAAAAAAAAACTACTAAGTTCTAAAATGAAGGAAATAATTGAAATTTATGCATGTTCGATCTTCTAAAAGTTCTCTAGTTTTGGAGGATCTTGCACATGCCAATCAATATTTTTGACTAGTCTGAGCAACATAGGTTGAAATTCACGTGGCATACTTTTGGTCTATATATTAAGATAAACTATATATGATAACAAAACAAGGTAATATAGCCCTTGGATTCAAAATATTTACTTCTCCCTTGTTATCTTCTTTGCATTTTGCAATCACTCTTGAAACTATAATAGCTTTCTTTGAGATTCCATCTCCAAATTGCTTCATAATTTTTCTATGTGCACTCCAGCAACTAGTAGAAAATGATTCAATCCAATTAGTTTCCTCATGAATTAATCTACAATTTTGTACTATGATTTTGCATACACCACATGTTTTCTTGTTACAAATTCTTGTCGACTTGTCAAGGCCTAACGAACAAGTAATCGTTGCACCATGGTAGAAAACTCTCTCTACTCTCTTTTTACTCGAACTTCTCATGGATTTTGAATTCATCGACATTTTCTTGCATTCTTCAAAATTTTCAATAACCTTTTCACTATGGTTCACTTTCAAGATTTTTTCAATTTTGTATCCTACTTCATGCTTCCATTCAAATCGAAAAATATCTTCCACTATGGTTTTTAAAGGATTCCCTTCAGGAATCTCGTCTAACAGCTTAAGCGGTCTGTGCACATTAAATCTCGGAGAGTCACAAATATTGGTACAAGAATTAAACACCAACCCCTTTTTTGATTTTGATATCCCTTTGTCTTGATTTTTTTCTTTTTTTGGAGAATTAGTTGAAGTTGGCTTTGGCTTGAAACATCTAATAGTAGAACTTGGATGACAAACAAGAATTGCTAGAGATGTCATTAAGAGACATTTTTCAGCCATTTTTTATGTATTTTTTGGTATTGGGAATGATGCCTAATGTATACTAAAATTCAAAAGGGCTAAGAAAATCTCAATATTAATGATCAAAATCAAGAAAAATATTCAACATGATATTATTTTTAGTACTTTATAATATGGAGATTTCAGAACTTATGAGGTGTAAATCAAGTTCAATTATTAAGATTTTATAGCCATTTAGATAACCTAATAACATAGTCTACAAAAGGAAACTTAGAGATTCTAATGAGTTAGATTTATTTCGATTAATACAATTAATTAAATCTTTTTCAATGTACCATTTTTAAAAATTAAATATAATGACTACCCCCAAATTATCTAATCAAAGTAAAAAAATAATAATTGGAACACATTCATTATGTTTCCAATTATTTGTCATGCATTTAGTTAATTCGATTTTGATGCAATTATGCACGATCTATTATGATATATGCCGTCCGTCTCAAATTATATGTCGTGATTTTATTTATATAATCCTTAGAAAACATTAATTATGCAGGATTTCTAACTATTTTATCCGTCATTGATATTTAAATTTTCTCTTTAAACAATCATAACATCACCCCATAATTGAGGTGTTTGTGGTCCTTAGAAAACAATTATTACAAGTGGGAAAACTTAATTAATTTTACTTTGAATATCTGAAATGTCAAATAATTTGAGATAACTATTTTTAGAAATCGAGATATAAATAACTATATTGAATCGAACGAGTAAATCTCACTCAACCCTCTTAATGTTTTGAGTTTGGAAAACAATATTCTCTTTCCCTTTTGAGGGAATAATAAATCCCATAATCTTAAATTAACGATAAAAAATAAATTGTATCATTACATGTTTATTCAAAATGTCAAATAGCCCTCAATTTTTTTTTTCAATAATAAAAGAATTTATGCAATTCTAATATATAAAATTTAAACTTTCATAACTCTATTTTTCTCGTTTAGCTCTTCTATTAATATTCAAAACCTGTCTTTTTTTCATCAAATATTCTTTTTGTTGAGTCCGAAATAATCTTAATCCTTCTTGTTGTTTTTATTATCGTCAAAATTGAAATTTGAGTTAAACTAGCCAATTTTCTATAAGATATTTATTCTGATTTCAAGTCAATTATACATATCTAAAGGTGAGCTAATTTTTTTTGAAAATATATTACATTGGTAGTTATTATTTATTTATTTTAAAAAAAAACATGTAACAATTTCGAATGATAATACAATTTGTAGGCAACATAATTTTCAAATTTTAAAATCATTTGAAATGCTAATTTAAGTGATTTTTCTATTTTATGCTAAAGATGAATGGGTGCCTCATTATTTATTTACCTCAACCTCTTTTTAGGTAAATCAAATAAATTACTCATTTCTATAATATACATGGGCTATTTTTAGTTATTCTCTAATTTTTAAAAGAACATATATAATAGTTTATCATAAGTTCATAACTAAAGGTTATTGTGACCTTTTATATATAAAATGATCTAACTCAATTTTGGTCGTTGATTTATGGAGTCTTTAGAGAGCCTTATGTGGTGGATTAATACCTCCGTCAATTTGAAGGTATTTGAATCAAATTTCGAACACAATAAATCGTACATCAATTTAATGCCATTTAATACTCTCAAACTCTCATTCATGCCTAATTGATGATAAGATGTTTTGGAATTTATATGATGGTGATTTGAAGCTATAATTCTAGCTCAGATATATTTCTTTTTGATATTCACACCAACTTCAAATCTGACAATTTGAATTTTTTTTAATTTTAAACTAACCAATTTCAACTTCAATTTCACATATTTGAAATTAATTCTAGAACGGCTAAATTTTTATTTTTTTAATTATATTTTTCAATTATTTTTTAAACAAAGATCCTAAAAATGGTTATTTGTACTTCTCTCCTGGTTAGGAAATGAATGAAGAATAGGACTTCGGATACATGCATTCGGTGCGTTCGAAAACAAGTATCTCGGATATAAGGGGTTAAAATTAAGTGTAATTTGTTATAGATATACTGTATCCAAGTGGATTTGCATGTATCTTGAATGCACAGACAAATCTCGTCGCTCTCCCTCCTATCTTGCTCGCCACTCTCCTATCTCACTCGTATATCTGGTATCTCAAATACATGTATCTAGTGTGATTCACATGTATCTGGGATACATAGACAGAGATCTCACATGCATCTTCCTATTTCAGCGTATCTGGTAGCAAAACACATATATTTAGATGAGTCTGACTTGAAATCTGGTATGAAATTATTAATTAGTGAGATTGAGACAATATGTAATTATTTCAAACGATGGGGAGAATTAATAAATATGATAGAAATGTTTGTGTAATTAGGTAGTTTTTCAAAAATAAGGTAACTTACAGAAATTCCACCAGTTTAGGAGTTAATTATTTAGATACATGTTAGTTTGCAATATTACAAATCTTACCACATTTTGGACTTCGGATACATGTATTTGATACATTCAGATACATGTATCTCGAATACATGGGGTCAAAATTAGGTATAATTTGTTCTATATATATTGTATTCAAGTGGATTCGCGTGTATGACAAATCTCGTTCGCTACCTCCCTTCCTGTTCTCGCTCGCCTCTCTCCTTATTTAAACGTATCTGCTAGCAAAAAATATGTATCTAGGTAGATGCAACTTGAAATCTGGTATGAAATTATTAATTAGTGAGATAATATGTAATTATTTCAAACTATAAGAAAAATTAATAAATATGATAGAAATATTTATGTAATTAGATAGTTTTTCAAAAATAACAAGAGTGGTTAAGAGGGTGCAAAAGAAATTTATAATTTGGACCTCTAATGGGCCGTAATGGTTGCTGAATGCTGATGCATCCTTCAGGGCCTTCGGGAACTCGGCCCAATAGGCTTAAACATGGGTCATGTAATTTTCATTTGAAAATAGTCATTGTTATTTGAAAAAATTACTTGGATGAGTGCATTTTAATAAATAATTATTAATTATAGTGATACTTTTTATTTATTATCATTCATAGTAATACATATTAATACTATGATAAATCTGCAATATGTATTACAATTGAAGTATGTATGCAATATACATGTATTATAATTGTTTTAAAATATATTATGCTTATTTGGTAAGAAATTGACACATTATATCATAAGTGTATTAAAATGTGTGATACATGTATTATACATCAATAAAACATGTATTATATGTGTTTTATAAATTGTTCTTTATAATATATATATATTAAAAATGTATTAAAAAGTGATCAAATAAAAAAAATTGTTACTATAAATGGTAAATAGTTTCTTGATACAGTATATTTTTGTAAGTTTCCTTGTCATTTTATGAAATTTTATTTGTGAAATTTTAAACTTCATAATAATGCCTATTTATCGGAGTATATTTATTGAATTATCGAAAAGTAAAAGAGAAAACACTTGTTCCCGTTATTCTTACTTTTGTTGACAAAGGATCATTTTTTTACTTCTTCCAAATTGAGCCTAAAGTTTTATTAATTCCTAAAATATATCATATCAAATTATACTTGCACATATAATTTTATGAAGACTTATCCAAGGGAAAAACTTAAACATAAATGTCAAAGTTGAATGTTTCTAAGCGATATTTACATTTGTTAACCCCCATGTCTCAATATTTAAATTAAACAATAATATTGTAATATATACCTATAATTATAATCACAACAAAATTGTAATATATATCCGTAGAGGATCTTGGATTATCATTAAGGAGTGTCAATGGTTGTAGTAAAAATATAATTATGAGTAGTAAAAATATAATTATGAGATTAATAGGGCAAGAACACACAACCTCAAAGAATTTTCACAACAATTAATCACTATACTACAATTTTAACTTGTGTCAAAGAAGGGTCAATACTTGTATATATATTTATTAAACCAAAATTTGACGGCGAAAGGACACTCCTTAGGTGGGTACGCCACTGATAGATACAGAGTCTCATT